TGTTCTGTGTGCATTGCTCTAGGCAACTTACCCACGTGGATGTTATTTTATCTTGTCTATAGTGTGCATTAGAAAGGAAGATATTTTGGTGTCTGAGAACAGCATATAAGGTGCCGTTTCACATGGCATGATGGCTGATGCTCACCTGCCAGCATGTAGGTCAAATCATTTGAAGGGAATGGCCCAGAGGGCTCAGCTGTGTCCACTTACAGGGATTGCTTACCCATACTCCTGAATCTAGCTATTTTCTTCCATTTCAGTGGGTGTAACGAAAGGAAAATAAAGTACTTGTTTCATTTTCTTTTTCCTCCATCAAATCTGAAAAATATCAGTTCTGTTCCCAGAGAGAGTCCTTTCATAACCACTTAATTTGGGGAAAATAGCACATTACAGAACCAAACTAAAAAGTTGCTTGGTTTTTTTTTTTGCAAGAATTGATTGGCCTCGGTTTCCCTCACTATTGCCTCCAGCAACAAGCAGATTAGGCAGAACTGCCATACAAATAGCTCTTATCTTGCTATGCGTTGCTCTTTGCAGCTGCCTGTTGGACTCATGCTGTCAAAAGCTGAACTTTTTATCTTTCACTTGGTAAGAATTAGTGGTTTTCTGCTCTCAGGCTGCACAAGAACTATTCAAAAAGACTGAACTTCCACAGGATCAGTGTGTAGCACTGATAATCCACTATCTCTGGTCTCCCATCTGTTAACTGCTTCTCAGTCTGTGTATCCTGCTCAGTGTTTGAAATTCATTGGATAGAGTTTTGTAGTGAGCAGACTTCAAATCACTGTGGCTTCACTTCTTGAATTTGATTCAAGAAAGAAAGGACTGGTCAAGAAATAAAGACAGCCTCTTATGCTTAAGCATTTGATGGAATAGAAGTCCACTAAACATGTCCAGTGGCATAAAGCCAGATTCTTCTTTGCTTGTTATCAGTCCCGTGTTAATGTAAAGCACTGGCAGAACCCAAGTGTCTCTTGACTCCTTGGGGTAAGATCTTAAAGCAGCTTGGACTCACCAGGGCCTTAGTGGGAATACGACCTGTAAGCACTGTTGCACCCTGGCATCTTTGAAGGGACATTTCTTTGGGAGGTCATTTTCTTGTGTTGGCATAATAGTGAAGAGTATTGTCTGGAATAGGAGAATCTCAGATAAGTATTATCTCATTTTTGCCCAGCAGAGCCAAAGAGCTGGGTGAAGTAATGCCATATGAGAAAATTGTCTGAATGGAAAAAAATAACTCTTTTCAAAACCTGCAGGTTTTATTCTGGAACCCTGCTGCTTGTTTCAGGGATGGCTCTGTTGCTGCTCATCCTTCCTTTGTGGCTTTTCAGCTTTTCTTCTAAGATCTGGTGCAAAGTCAATGGCAATTTTCCTGTTGACTCTGAGGGGGCTTTATGTCAGCACTTAATTGATTTACTAGCTCTCTTCCTAAAGCAGCTACACATATACATTATTAGATACACATGATACTTTAATCATGCCCTCAGATTGCCACATCTAGGTTCCTCAAAATTGGAGGAATTTCATTCAGTCTCCTCTGGCCTGGGAGAGGCTATTTCCTCTCCTAGAGCAATTGAACATTGACTGTGTGGTTTTACTAGTTTTGTTCTGCTTTATCTGCTGCATGTAGCAACCTTACCTGGTAATATTAATCATGGGAAATGTAGATTATCATAAAGATGAAACATGTACTGGCCTTAATATTTGTCTGGCCAGTAAAGATGGCTGCAAGCAGACTTCTTTCTTGTAATTTCTCCTTCATGTTATATACTTAAAGATCACAAAACAAACTTTTCTTGTGTATCAGCATACCCTTTCACTTCTGCTTCTAAAAGCATTAATTTGGTACTGTAGTTTTCTGGAGGTATATTCTACATTTTTATTGTCTTTCCTCCCACAATCAATAAGCCTTTGCAGCAAAGTCTTATTTTCAGGTGATAAGTGGATAGTGGCTGCAAAGCTGTTGTATGCAATGATGCTTAGGAGTTTTGATAAGGTGGTACATTTTTTTTTGAGGGAGAAGCAATGAAATCCTGAAAACCCCAAGGTGATTTTTCTGTCAAGCAACATTTGAGACTCAAAATCTTATAGCAGAACCAAGAGCTTTTGCTGAACATTTGAACTTAATAGGTATTTATTTTTATGCAGAAAAAGTCCTGTGCAAGTCCTCACTGAATAATAAAGTAACTTTTTTTCATAGCATTAGGTTGCACTTGTAGACAGTTGCACAATTTCACTATTTAAATCCTTTTTAATGGTGGTTAATCCTTCAGTCTTTGATTCAGTGGGTGACTGCCATTTGTAACACCCTTATGGAGAAGGAGAGGAAAAAGAGAAGGGGTGAGGGGTTAAGGAAAAATAATAAAGTGTCAGGATAGTGTGAGAAACGCCCTGTGGAGGTGGCAACATTTCTGCAATTAGCAGTGTGAAAATGGTAGATTGGTTAGCGGTCTCCATGCATTATTGCATTATTGCATGCTGTTTCTCCAGCAGAAGTGAGAGCTGCCCACTGTGTTCTGTCCAGACACGGGCAGCCTTCTTTTTTTTTTTTTCTTTGTTTTGCTTCGCAGCTGGTCACTTTATCTGACACACTGGCTTCACTTCAAGCCTGGCTGGGAAAGTTGTCCTGGGCACTCACCGAGCATCAGCAATTCCTTTTCCTTCCCAGACAGCTGCTTGATTGCCATGTCTGAGGTGAGATTGCCCCAGCTAATCCCCTGTTTGCATGGCAGAGCTGGGACTTGATGGCTTTAGGTGTTGAGAGATGGTTGTCCCACACCTATTCTGTCTTTTCTGTATATTAACTTCTGTCAAGTTTGTCCCCAGCACACACACAGAGACAGATGTGGTTGAGCAATAATCTTCCCTCCTGTCCTTGTAGCCAGTTTGGTCTGCCCATGTTATCTCCCTGGTGCAAAGAGGGACTTACCTCCCCCTAGAAACAGGGCTGACCATATGTACCTGTCTCCATCATGACTTTCCCTGTGCCAGAGCTGAATTTACTTGGAATATATTCTCAGCTCCCCTCTTCCCCCATACCAGCTAACCATCAGCCTCTCTGCGCTCATTACAACTTCTTGATCCTCCCTGCCACAAATCACTACATTGAGTTTTTAGCCCTGAGCACAAAGGAGCCAATATTGTACCTGCTGCACTCCACTTTGCACCTTTCCCTCAATCTGGAGTGCTTTGAAGCACAGCTAATGAGAATTTAATAATGACACCATCTGGGTGCTAAACTGCATCTTCTCACACAATTTGTCCCAGTAACAGTGCTGGTTTAAGGTGATACATGCACAAATATGCCATAACACAGAATTGCTGCTATAACTTGTTATGCTGGTACAAGAACATCTTAGATTGCTGCTAACTGTTCTTGCGGTACTGGAGTATCAGCAGATAAACTGCACAAAGCACAGACATCTGAAGCTATAGCGAGTAGCTGGCTAGGAAAGGCCTTAGTGAATTTCCAGAAGGAAATAGCAAAGAGCTGCCTCTGGGCTACATTTCATTAGTGAAACATCTCTACAGTGATCACCTGTAGAGAAAACTGCTTAAGCCCAGCCCTTCCTCTGGGAATACCACCTGGTGCAATACGAGTCTGTTCCGTGCTTCCCAATTCAGTTTCCCTGTGCAGCTTTGCAGGGCGGGTCCCAGATTCTCACTGGATTAATTGGGAGAAAGATGATGTGAAATTCGAGTTTACCAAAAGATGGGGCTAGAGACCTCCTTCCCCAGGAAAGATGCTGCCCAGCTGGCACCCTGAGTACCTGCCTCTGAGCCCTAAGGCAGCTCTGGAGTCCTGTTTACCAACAGATAGTGCAAGAGTACTTCACATTTTCAAGCTGTCAGGCTTCAAGGAGCTATTATGTTAAAAGGCAAGTGTGGGCATCTGTAGAGCCATTGTATTTGTACTTCAGTAAGACAGGACAAGACATATTGGGCCTCCTGGATATATATGTTTAAATTCTGATTTATTCAAGCAGGAGGAGAAAGCATCCTTGTGCATGCTTATTCAGTAGCAGCACAAAACAAAAACTAATTAGGTCAGTTCAGCACGAAGGGGAGCTATAATTTGCTTGCAGCTCAGCCATTAAAGTAAAAACTAGTTTATTATGCTAGATAAAAGCATGCTACTATAATCACCCTGTACAATTAGCCCTATATTGCTGCCAAAACAATGTTTTCTTGATTAGTTCCACAGATGCCCAAGGGCAGGTGTCTTGAGGTCTTTTACAGCTCTTCAGTTAGATGCATTCAGAGATGTAGGTGAGAACAGGCCAATGGCTCCTTGTCATCTTGCATTCACAAGGACCCTTGCATACAGTAGATTATTCTTTTGAGAAGAATAAATGTTACTTGTCAGCCCAGCTCCTCCATCTTCAAAGCACCTTAGCAATATTGAAAATCTAGCTGGATTTGTTCTGAAGTTGGTTAGAATTGCTGTCTCCCTGTGTAACATCATTTATCTGGCCAAAGTAGAGATGGATTGACAAAACTGCTGTGTGGAAGAAGGAAGCTTTCTTTATCAATGCTTTCACAATATAGATTTTACAAGTTGACAACAGCGCTTAATCTCTGAATAAGCAAAGTTCCAAACAACTGCAGTTCATCTTAGTTCACAGGCTTGTAGTGAAATGTTGCTATATTATAACAAACTGGTAAAGCTAGCAGCTTGAATTTTCAGGGCTGTCCTGCTATGATATGTGCTCTTATACATTCCTAGGTTGTTTGCTCTATATGCAGCCCTTAAAGGCAAGCACATACACAAGCCCTTGCAAGATCTGAGTTTGAGTTAGGCCTCCAGTTGTTCTGGGAATTGGGTATCTACGGCTTAAGCTGTTTTCAAAATCCTATCAGTTTCTGTATTCTCTATTAACCTGCTGAGAAAAAACTGATAGCAAAATACATTTGCACTGAACTGTTTCTTCCGTGATGTAAGTGCTTGTATTCAGAGCAGTGGAGTCATTTTTAATATGGCCACTCTGCTCTTCTACTAGGTGCAAATATCATCAATGTCTCATCACAGGAAAGATGGAAAGAGAAGTTGATGGCAGCCTTAATTCTCTATTTCCTGGAGGCTTAAATTGGTTTAAGACCTTTCGCACTCCTGGGGTGATTTCTGGGTTTCAGCCTTAAGGGAGGAGAGGTCAGCATGTTTTACAGCAAGTAATTTGTTTGAAAGAATGCTGTCAGGGTTCGTAGACCCACAATTTGAAATATTCTGCTGTTTGCAAAGTTCACATAATTCTTTGTGTGCTGTTTCTAACCAAATCTATCGGAGCTTGTCTTCCTAAAAATAAATCAGCAGATGCAGCCCAATATGTCTGAGCTCCTCTAGAACATATACTCAGTACACGGTATCTGAGACACATTACTATGAAGAACTGGGAAAACATGCCTTTAAAGTGTTTGTAAGTATCTGAGCATATAAAACCTGCCAATTTGTGAACCTCCACATTGAAGACTTGAATCAAGACAACCTGATAGTGATTAGCTTGAATCCTAAGCGTCCGCACAAGCAATAGATGTGTTTTTTACAGAAGTGTTTGCTAATTGTGCATGGCTTGGAAGGATAAGTCACAATTTCTTTTAATTTTTATCTGGTAGATTTAGTCATGTTCATTGGTGGAAAACTGAGGAAGAGAACTCTTACCTGCTGTTAAACATTGGAAGCAAAGACATTACATGTCTCATTGACTTATTAAAGACACAGTTTTGGATGAGAGCTGGTCGCTACGCAGGCAAAGAAGCTAGCAAAGCACATGGAAAATTTGGTGATTCCGACTACACCAGAAAGGATAATGGCTAAGAATCGAACTTGGAATCAGTGTGGAGAGTAAACTAAAAGCAGGGGCAATTTAGAAATGGGTATGAGGTATTCTGTGAGCAGCCTGGGCAGCCTTGTTACCCCAGGCAGTCAAGGAAGCGATGGGGTCGCAGACAGCAGGATCTTCCTTCCTGGGCAAAAATATGATGTGCCACCACATTTGAGTCTGGAAACAGCTGAAGAAAACTAATCTGACCTTCTGGGTCACATAATAAAGGAAGATAATCACTTAAGGAGGAAAATACATTTTAAAAAATGCTTTAACAGCATCTGTTGATAGCAGCAGCACTATTTCTAGTGAAAATGTAATAAGCTACAAGATTAAATGTGTATCATCTTTGCACTATGAAGCAAGCTGAGATTGCTTCCAGGGTACAGCAGAGATTTGCACAAATACGTGAGAAAAAGCAATGTTGTCCGGGCTTCATGCTCAATTTCTGCTATTCAGATACAAAAAACTATCTAAATCCTATCTCACAGCAGACCAGGACAAGGTCAGTTAATCACAGTGGAGCTGTGGAGCAATGGAAGGGTTACTCTGATATATACTGCTCAGAAACAAGAGCAGACTTGCCAGAGTTTTAGCTGATCGTTGCTTCACCTATCTGACAATTAACAGCATCTATGTGTGGGTGACCATGTGGGAGGCAAACAGGGAGAGATGGAGCCCTTGCTTGGCTATACTTCAAGGCAGAGGGCCATTGTGAGGTTGAGTAAGGATTTACTTTGCAGGGAGTGGAAGAATTACTGACTAATTGTAGAGTCCTGAACTGCAATTTAGACTTGAACCATGTCAAAGAAGCCAAATTTTTCTAGGAGGATGACAGTGATCAAGCAGTTAGGGCAGAGAATTTTAAAAAGAAAGAAGGTAAGGGCTGAAAACCTGAGTTCTGTAGGATGCAAAAGCCTCAGAGGGGAGAAAATCCCAGATAGATAATAGAGGCATATTCACCTAAAATTTGCATTGTTGAATCTGATGGGGTGAAAAGACTCTGAAATTATTATGTAACTGCATGTCTCAAAGCAGGCTCAGTTATGCCTCTGTCACTCCTGGCAGATTTCTGTTTGCCTGTTGCTAAAGGCTGTTTAGCAATGAAGCTTCACAGCCTCTGGAGGAAGTCTTCTCTGTAGCTTTACTACCAATTGAAAACCTTTCCTAATGCCTAACTTAAAACAGCCTGCAGTAATTTGAGCCAATTCTTGTCTTAGCACACATACAAATAGACTGTCCTTTTGTCCTTGCAGCTCTCTTCAGTATTTGAAGACTGGAATATTCTCTCAATTTTCTCCTTTATGTACATTAATCTTGTTAGAGATCAGATTTTTCTAGACTTCAGGCTGTGCTTGTCTGCCTCTGCACACTCTCCACTTGATCAGTTTCTTTTATCCTTAAGTCTAGCATCCAAACTGTGTGAGCAGAGATGACTCCAGCCACAGCTTTTCCAGGAGTGAATAGAAATAGTTCAAGGTTCTCAGACTCTTTTGATCCGTGTATCCCTGTTTGAGATTGGTCTGTCTTAGCATGGTGCAACATTATTGTTTTATTATGATTCACTATTGCTCCCCGATAGCTACAGCTATCAGCATCTGGGGATGGGTGCAGGAGACTCCCAGTCCATCTTTAGTCAATGGAGAAAGCAATGCTTCTACAGAGGGCAATCCCATGTATTTCAGCATCATAAAATCATTTGTTGGAAAAGACCTTTAAGGTCAAGTGCAACTGTTAACCTAGCACTGCCAAGTCTCGCATTAATTCAAGTGCCACATCACATCTAAATACTTTCAGGCATGGCGATTCCAGCTACCCTTCCCCAAGCCTGTAGCATTGCATGGGGTTGTTGTGACACAAGCGCAGGACTCAGCACTGGGACTTGTTGAACCTCATACTCTGTAGAGCTTTTTTCACCCTCTAGCAGAACAACACCCCTGCCCAACCTGGAGTCGTATACAAACTTACTGAGGGTGCACTCAATCCCCTTGTCCAGACCATTTGATAAAGATGTTAAACAGAACTGTCCCTGATATGGAGCCCTGGGGAACAGGGCTTGTGACCAGCCACTAATGGGATTAATTCCGTTCACCAGAGTTGAAGGGTAGAGGCAATCAGATCAAATAGTTTAGTCATGCTGAGCTGGCTATGGAAGGCACCATTCCCCCTTGCTGCTGGAGACTCCCTAATGATTAATTTCTATATTGAATCACTTTCAAATTACCCAAGTCACTCAAATGCCTGAAGTGCCTGGGGCAATTAACCAGGAACATGTGGCCATATATGCTACTTGCTAAGGTAAAATGAATCTGAGGTATGTTCAGCCTCCCCTCATGTCACTGACGAGTTCACAGCATCAGCTTCTGGAAAGGGCAGTCCCACACAGTGTATTATTTGGTCTCTGCTGCACTAAAGGAATAGCTTTGTTCTTGCCTATCCCTATTCCTTTCCCTTCTCCACTGCAGGTGCTCACCTGTTTCTGACCTGAAGCATGAAGGTCAAGAGCTGCTTCTTTATCCTTGTCATTGGCTTGGTGCAGGTGCTAATCCAAGACATGTAAATGCCCAATCCTATTTCGAGGCTGACTTGTTAGCTCTGTAAAATGTGACAGTTCGCAGGTGTTCGGAGGAATAGTTTAACACATTAGCACACTTTTTTGGTGATTATTTTCATGGAACTCTTTAAATAACCATTAAGCTTTGACAGCACCAAGCAGAGGCAGCAGCTATTTAAAAATGAGGAGAGGGGTAAAAGCAGCGTGGTTGTAAAAAAAGGAAGCAGTAGGCTGCAGATAGCCAGCCTCTCCTTCGGGATCAGGCTGCCTTTGCAGAGCCCACTACTTGCTTTGCCGGCGCAGACCGATGATAGATTTTACTGTTGATTTCCATGGTGTTTTTCTGCCCTCAGTTACATCGCTGCTCTCATTTCTGCGCAAACAACAGTTCCTGCCTCAAAAGTGTGAGTGCAATTAAGGATAGATCTAACCTCACTCTTAAATTTAGCTTTTCTCTACAGTTTTCTCATCCAAGCATACATCTGGGTGGGATTTTGGCTCAACTCCAGAGCTCCCTGGAGGCTTCATGTCCAGCTATGGCTGCTTCTCCATCATCCACTGGGCTCCAGTACCTGTGATTTTGATGGATCAGGTGTAGGTATCATCCTATGTCACTACCTCATTAGGTAGCTAAGATTTAGCCTTGCCAGGCACAGCATCATCCTGTTTCCCCCTCAGATGTTTTTTGTTCACAGTAAAGCTGATCAAGGGATTTCCATCATGGCAAAGAATTATCTTTAAGGCTTCTATAGGGACATGCTTGCCTAATTCTGAAACTGTGACACACAAAAAAAATCCCCAGCTTTGTATTTCTAAGGACTTTATCTACCTTAAACCCACAGAGATTCACAAAATAGGTATGTTTGTCTCTTCCTGGTGCACTGCCTGGCATGGTGAGCTCTGCCAGCCAGAAGCTGCTTTGGAAAGACCTTGTGCTTGAGCAGTTGGATTACCAGCTCTCTGTACATAGAGTGCTTTTTTTGCAGCCCTCTCTTCCTCTCTGCAACATGCAGGCACACAACATATATAGCCTTGAGGCTGATTTGGTTAAAAAGATTGTTTTCAAGAAGCAGTGGGCGAAGTGTTATTAGGAATAACTGTCTGAGTGCAAACAGAGGCGCAACACAGAAGTAGTGAATGTGTAAATGTGGACTTGGACCTATTAGCTGCCTCAAACACATTTCTCACTTCAGTGTTGGCAATTTATTCTGTGCTTTCTCCTGTCTGCCCTGAAATAGGGGGAAGTGATGGCAGTTCCACTGAATCACAGTGCTGAAGGATGCTTTGTGTGTACACATGCATGTAGGCAGTGCTGAAAAGCTTCCTGCAGTTGCAGGGTATTTCTCTCAGTAGCACTAGGTGGATGATGGACCAGAACTTTCACAGCCTTAAGTGTAAGGGAGAGTAATTGGACAGGACAGAATTCACACTGCTTTTGATGGCCTTGGAAAACTGTGTTTACCATAACTTCTGGAAAACAAAGATGTTCACAGGTAAAAGGCCAAAAGCAGCTCATCCCACAAAGCAGAGTCAGGGTTAAAAGAGAATAATGGGAAGGAAAGTACTAAGGGTTAAGAAAGAAAGGGGAAAGGAGTCCTTTATCTAGGTATTAAAAGTTTAACCCAGTAAATCTCCCTCCTTCTCTTATTTCTGGGATAAAAATAAGAGCACTTGGAAAGCTTAAAGGCTAGATTTGAGAAGACAGCCGTGAGTGTAAGGATGCTCAGGCACAACTGGGGACTGTAGAAATCCCTAAGCTGCTTTTTCTTAGGAGGG